CTTTTAGTTTCGTTACGTTTAGGTTAAGGTTAAGTTATTAGTTCGTACGTTACGTTCGTTCGTTGGTACGTACGTTGTTAAGGTTAACGTTAGTAGTGTCGTACGTAGTCGTCTCTCTCTCTCTCTCTCTCTCTCTCTCTCTCTCCCTTTTGGGGTTCTTTGGATTAGGGGGCTAATGCCTTTTCTTTTCTGTGGGGATTGGGATTGTGAAACTATCAGAAGATCACTGTGGCAAAGAACGAATAGTTCCATGTGTTTTCTCACCAGTTTTGATACCTCTCGTTGGACGTTAACCTCCATTGTTGCTTATCCTTAAGCTTCTGTAGCCAGTGCCTTCATACATACTTGTTTGTCATTGTGTTTCGCTTGTTGCGTCTTTTTACAAAGTTGCATGAGACCTTTGGCTCTCTCTTTATATTCTTATTTGGTACTTATGTCTTAAACTAATTCTGGTTCCCATATGATTCAGTTCATCCAGTTGGATTCCGGTTGGATTCAGATGTTTGGAATCTGTTTCATGCATGCCTTTATGACTTCCAGTGACGCTTCTAATTGTTTTGGTTAGCGATGCTCTTAGATAGTTTTCTTATGGAAAGATGGATAATAGATTCTTGTTGAGAGACATTATACTGTAGTTTGGATGTCTTCGATCATCAGATTAATGAGTTCCCATTGACACTTGAAAGGAGCTGTCTTCGATCCTCAGATTCCTGAATGAGTTCCCATTGACACTTGATAGGAGCATATGGCACGTTTACTCTGTGTATAGCAGATTTTTCCCGTAGCAGATCTATGATAGTAGAAAGAAGGGCTAAGCTTGATTCTACTGAGGATTGTAGAGTTTTCTCAACTCCCAAGAATTTGTATTGTTTGAACCGATAGACAACAAGTGATATCTGGTTTCTTTTTTCTTGAGGCATCTTCTTATTTCATGTATCATGGTTCCATTAAAGAGGAATATTTATAAGGCAACAATAGTAGATGTCCTCAGTTACAAAATTGCCATATAATGGACCTAGTGGGTTACATGTATGATATCGGTCACTGAATATGGACATGAAATCAGAAGGGATGTGGCCAAGAAAAATGGATATGGGTATTCATGACCTTTTTTAGACATCTCCTCACAGGGTTGAGAAGCGCCCTCGTCTAAGCAAGCCTCGGTCCTGTTTTCTCCAAAAGCCATTGGCCCACGACAAATTGAAAGAACCTTGATCATCTCAAACATTTCATCTAATTGTGTTTGACAAACCTTGTTGGCTGACCTTGGCTTCTTTTACTCACTCTCATCAAAGTTCCCATTGGAAACACCTATGAGTAAAGGAGACAATCCATATGTGGCTATCCTTGAGCACTAGGCTTTTTACTAATGCCCCCCTTCCCAATTTTAGATGACCCATGATATGACGTATGTCAAATCACCCTTGATCTTGACTAACATTGTGTAACCCAAGCGTGCAAATGTAACTTAAGGACATTTCTCTGTGATTTCTCTAGATTAAGTTCAACTTATTTTACCTAAACAATGTGATCCTTTGCTGCCACTATACAAATAACTTTTCCAAGAATTCCATAGAGCCTATTAAAATTATGACACATGCTCAAAATACTTCTATCTTAATGGGTTGAAGAATTCATCCATTTTTCTTCTTCCTTTCTACATATAAAGGGCTTGCTAGGTAAAAAAATTCCCTGACATTTAAGTCATTATTGAGTAAGATCTTTTCCTTTCAAGTGAGCTAGGAACAAGTTGATATTCTGCAGCATATTCTTCCTCCAAAAGTTTGAAACAATTCCTTGACCTTACCACTTGACCGTTGTTCATTGGTTTTGCCAAAGATTGATGGTTTGTAGTTCCATTTGAGTTGTGTTTCTTAGCTTCTCTGTGACCGTAAACATCTTGAAATGCTTTTAAATGATCGACCTAAACTTTTATTTCCTTGTCATAGTGGACTCTACCAATCTTAGAGGATTTTCACACAATCTCTTATATGCTGATGATATTATTATCTTCTGCGATGCATGCCCTCAGCAAGTTGATAATCTTTGACTCTTTCGTAGATTTTTCGAGCCAGGGACGTGCTTGAAGGTCAAGCTTTCATGTCAAAAACCAGATTTGGGAAGGACCTGTGGATGTGGGATCAATCCTTAGGAGTCCAATGGCCTTCCGTCATTGCCATTGCAAGGAACAAGGGCATTTTGGTGGTGAAAGTTGCAGAGTTAAGGGGTAGTGACATTATTTGGTCATCACCTTTTTGCAGGGCACTCATTGATGAGGAAGGCTGGCAGTTCTTACTCCTTATCCACTCACTCGAAGGCTTCTTCTTCCCAGAATCTGCCATGATAAATCGGTCTGAGCCCCAGTGGCTGCCGGGAAATTTTCAATCTTGTCATTCTGCAAATCTCTTTACACAAACCCCACTTTCCACAAGGTGTGGAATGGCCCGGTCCCTCATCAAGTTGAATCCTTTGACTGGATTCTGCTCTCAAGTAGAACCTTGATCATTGACCGAGTGCAAAAAGAGGGGGTCATTCGCTACCTAACCACTGTGTTATGTGAAAAAAGAGGGAAAAAACCGATCATCTCTCCTTGGCAGCGCAAGCTCACTCAAACTTTTTGGACAAGCCTACTACAAATCTTCAGCTACCAATGGGTGACCCTGGGTCCATACCCCAAATCTTTGAGGCATTCTTGACCCCTCCAGACCCCAAATTGCGACGCTGGCTGTGTAAGGCCTTAGCATTGGACATTTTATGGAGAATATGATGAGAACATAACTGTTGGATCTTCCAGGACAAGGTCACACCCCCACAGTTCCTTTAGGACCTTATAAGGTTTGAATCCTCTTACTAAGCCAATGGACTACCTCTACTAGCACATCTACGGACTTCTCTCCTACTTAACAGTGGGGATATTCTTCCATCCCTTAATCCATCAACCCCGGACATCGCCATCTCTGGCTTCCCCCTGCAAACTCTAAAACTGAATGTAGATTGGTGAAATCCAAGCCATTTGGATTTGGAGGAGTCCTTAGGAATTCTGAGGTGGTCGCCTCCTTTCCTTCTCAGGGTCATAGGACATGTCGCGTCCACAATGGCTGAGACTTTAGCCGTGATGGTAGACCTAAATGATGCAGCCAATCCACTCACTCTCTCCATCACCTAATAGTAGAAGGATATCCTCGTAATGTCATTGCTTGGGCTATTGACTCTGCACAAGTCCCATGGAGACTGGCACAGCTCTTTGCTTGCATTTATTTCTTATGTGGGGGCTTCTAGCGACCTTCAGACGTGGCCAGGGATGCCAACGAAGTGGCTGATACCTTGGCTAAGCAAGGAGCAGCACAACAGTTCAGCAACTAGTAGCTCCTCCAGAGCTTCTTCCTCAGCCACTTTTCCCAGTTCATAACCACACCCTTCCTTCTTGTACTCTCTTTCCTCCTATCTCCCATTTCTCTCTTCCCGTTATCTCAAACCTCTGTTCCCAATCATTGCCTTCCCCACTTATCTTTCCCCCTTTGGAACCTAGACTCCTCTTTTCTTTGTATAAGTTTAGCTCTAGTTGTTTTGTCTATTAGATAAAAACATGGCCGGTTCAACCCCTAACTGGCCAGTTTTGGGCTGGACATTTTAGGGAGGTATCACCTAGGCTACTACACACACAAAACCGGCCCTAGTCGGACTCGGAACCCTAGCAGTTCCGATCTAAACGGCCGGTTTTTCTAGCACTGCTTGAGACGTTGTGCTATGAAAACCCAGCCTCTACGGTCTTGACACAAGCCTGATCCCTCAGATAATTGTTTATTGACGTATATTGCTGTCCTAGCACTCCCATGTCTATGAACTTAAAAATTGTGTCATTGTTACTTGATTCTTTTTCCTAATTTCATTAGCCCCTGTTTTGTTAGATGATATAATTTTCTGAGTACTGTCCTTACTATTAAACAAAATTTGGAGATTTCATTTTTCTCTTGTTCCGCCATAGTTTGCGTTAAGTCTCATCCCCTAGGTTACAAGCTCCTCCATGAGTTTTCTTTGCCAACCCCTTATTGAAACAATTTCGAAACTAAATGGTTGGAAACTTGAAACCCTTTCCTAGCCCAGCAGACTAACTTTATATCATGCCTTAGTTATATTCCAAACCATTGGTGCAACATATTTAAGTTATCTTCCACCACAATAAAAACATTTGAGAGAATCCAAAGGAAATTACTACAGGGGCAATAACCAAAATCATTAACCAATAGCCTGTGAAATGGCATGCCCTTTGCAAACCAAAAAAATGAAGTATCATAAGTATTAAGGCATTAATGTTTCCTTACTAGCCAAACTAGGATAGGAATGAGAGTCAATCCATGTGACACATGTAATAAGGTGGTCTTTGGAGAAGTTCCATATAGAACACAATAATAGTTGCTAACAAATCTTGGCTTGGAAAGGAGTACATTAGTACATTAAACACTCATGTTCGGAACGGTAAATAGCAATGACCCTTGGGATGGATAAAAAAATAGATTTTGGTTTTGAATTCGGTCCAATGAAATGCGAACCATGAAGTTGTAGGATGTGTTGGCCTTTCCAAATATTGCCTTGAGGCTTTTCTCTTTGATATCATACTCTCATATTAGTTCATTGTGCATTTTTTGAGGTGATTCCTCTGCAGTCATTTAGCACTCATGTGAATGTATCATCCCAATTTTTTTTTTTTGGAACTGTGTCCTCCCTACTCTGTTGATAGGATGAAAATACCAAGATTCTGAGCTTCTATTAGATTTCCATGTGTGGGTGAGGGTAGTCTGCCTGCATCTCCATCAAAGAAAATCTAGCTAAAGGAACCCTCGACAAAACTTCAGGAATTGGGAGTAATTTGTTGCAATAGATGTTCCCTAGAAAATCCAAAAATGGAGAGTATATGGGTGCAATAGATGCTTCCTATGCAAAGCCAACATGGTAGATCATGAGCATTTTTCCTCAAATGTGCCTTTGTAATGAGATTCCACAAGTTCAACACCAGAACCATAGCCCGGAAAAACATCAAAAGCCTCTTCACATATTGGTCTAGAAAGATATTCAACGACAATATTTTTGCTTAAGCTTTGGCGTGCGTCTTTACCTGCATTATTTTGGGCTATATCTCAAGAAAGAAACGAGCAGTTAAATGAAGACACCACCATTACACCATTCAAGAGGTGCCAAGGGCGATGTCATGGAAGATTCAAAAGTGTATTCCAAAAGCATGATTAGGCCCCCAAACTCTCTATGAGAGATGGGAACTACCAATTCCCAATAACTTAGAATGTGAAAGAGAACATGTGGTGTGGTCTTTTTGTATATGGAGAGATAAATGAGAGATATTTTACAGTAGTGTGATGTCCAAGGACTAGATGCTTAACCGGTGTAAATTTATCCATAAGAGCCATACAAAAGGATGGGAGCCAAAAAACAATTTGCCTCAAAAGCACCTAATATGTCCTTTAAGGAGCATATTGTTACGTGTTTTTTCCCTTAAGATTCCCCCCCTTGTTTCTCATACATGGTTCACCTACTTCCCCTTTCACTTATATGAATTATCTCTCTGTATCAGTTTCCTTTCAACTTTCAAACTCCCCCCCAAATTGTGTCCTGCTCTCTTAGTGCTTTGTTCTTTTAGTAATTTTGCTAAATTTCTTAGTAAGTCTTTGGAGAGCTTCCTCGAGTCTCGAAAATTTGATCCTCTGCCATTAGAACAGCCAATTGCATTGAGAACCTTAAAATCCCTTTATGATCATCACTTCTTCCAGGACTTTCCATAGTTTGGATAAGGCTCGAACGATGATGACTTCTTCCAAAATGTTCCATACAACTTCGATGCATGCTAATTTATACCCCATTTAGTGCATAAATATCTTATTTACTCCCCTCCTTACACCCTGTCGAGTGATTGTGGAAACTGCCCCCTTGGCCTATATATTATTTGTTTCCCATTATGTTTCTAACCTCAGCAACCTTCAGTTCTTTCCTCCAACCCCTCCCCAAGTTCAGCGATTGGAGCATGTTTGCCAGTAATGTTTGGGCAAGATGTGTTCTCATCATTCCACAATGCACAGGTTGTACATTGGATTAAGTTGGAATTTGGTCTGACCTATTTCGAACCCAAAAGAAGTGGCACTTTGCTGGCCATTTTGATAGCATAATGGTTATCCAGAGTTCTAGATGTGCCAAAACTCTAATCGATTTTTATTGTCAGTGAATCACCATATTGCCGTAAAACCACATTAGAGCGGACATCTAAACAGGCCTGCTATAGTAATCCATCTGGATTCCTGATAAGTTGGAATTTGGTTTCTGGCAGATCTGCCTTCGTATGTGGATGAGATTTGTTGCAGGTTGGGCGTGTCTGGCAGGCCCTGAGATGAAACTGAGAGAGAGAGAGAGAGAGAGAGAGAGAGAGAGAGAGAGAGAGAGAGAGAGAGAGAGAGAGAGAGGAGGAGGAGGAGGAGGAGGAGGACGGAGGAGGTACGGTAGGACGGTACGGTACGTACGTACGTACGTACGTACGTACGTACGTACGTACGTACGTACGTAC